TGTTGCTTCGGGTTGCCTTTTCCATCGAACTGCATGAATTTTGGGGGCTGATAACCCCTTGGCATCTTCAAAGCATCAATCTTCTTGGAGTAAGGCTTTGAGTACAGTACGGAGTCATGCGAGCTTCCTTCGTACTGTGTCTTGATAGTGCTTGCAATCATCTCCTGTAGTTGCTGGATAGAGAGAGATCCCATGGACGCCGTTGCTTGGTCTAGTTTCAGCTTCTCTTCGACTTTCTCTGCTGGAGGCTCCTCTTCTTCGTCGCCTTCTTTCTTTAATAGGCCAACAATTGGGTCAACTTTCACGTCGGGCAGCGCATCTAGTTGGTTGACAAGTGCGGCAATCTGCAAGTCCTTCTCTTCCACAGTTCGTGTGAGCTTTGCTATTGCTTCATTCATCTGAGCTAGCTGCTCCTCGATTGAAGTTGCTCCAGTGGTCATGACTTGCATGGTTGTACTGCCGCTCGAATCAACGTCGGGGAGTATGGACTCTGAGTATTTCTTTGGGCTCTCCCCTTTTGATGCCCTTAGCGAGGCTAGGGTGATCACAGGCTCGTACCTCAGGTGCTCTTGTTCCTTTGACAGAGTTAATGCAGGGGCGGAAGCTGCGGCAAAAAGATCTCTTGCCTTACTTCGGGTTATGATGCCCGAAATATCACCACTTGCGGCGATGATGTTCTTGTTCTTTGCTTTGATTGCAGGAACAGCTTGATCCTTTCTTGATGCCATTTGCGTTTTTTTTATGATTTGAGGATAGAGATGAGAGGTAGAGATTGTCCCACTGGGCGTGCCAAATTTGTAAACACGAATAATTCCTGAAACAAGCGACAAGAATACGTGTACAAAATATATTTTTTTGTATTAATGATTTTTAGGGTTACAATCTCTTTGTAATTTGGTCCTCTGATTCTATCTTCGAAGGGTGTGGGTTTGTGGATGAGTTGTTGATCCAAAGGGCCGTCGGGGCTTGATCTAAGGATGCACAGTTGATGAATGGATCTTCAAGGGCTTCTGGGCTTAATCTTGAAGGATGAACGGATGTGTGGATTTGTTGAGGTTGTTGATCCAAAGGGGCCGTTGGGGCTTGATCTTAGGATGAACGGATCTTCAAAGGCTTCTGGGCTTAATCTTGAAGGATGAACGGATGTGTGGATTTGTTGAGGTTGTTGATCCAAAGGGGCCGTTGGGGCTTGATCTTAGGATGAACGGATGATGAGTGATGAATACTTTCTTCAAGGGCCGTCGGGGCTTGATCTTGAATTGGTGGAAGTTCTTCAAGGGCCGTCGGGGCTTGATCTTGAAGGTGGATTTGACGAAGAACGAAGATTGCTTTCTTGATCCTTCGGGATTTGCTTGAGAGCTTTAGAGTTTCAAGGCTTCTTTCTTTCTTCCTTCCTTCTTTTCTTCTTTTCCTTCCTTCCTTTCTTTCTTCCTTCTTCTCCCCCTAAAATGAATGCCTTTGGCCTCCTATTTATAGAATTCCAAAACTTGATTTTTGGATTTAAATAATCAGATGAAATAAATCATTTCTGCCAGGTATTGACACGTGTCCTATTTGATGACTTTTCCAATTTATTTCGATTTTTCGTTGAGTCACACGCTACATGTAAAATTTATGTGATACGTGAGCATTGAAATTTTAATTTTTGGTCAACATTTATTTCACCGAAATTTTGATGTCTACAAATGCCCCCACTTCAAGGCGTGTCGTAGACATGTGCTTGTCACGTGTAGAAGATGCGTTTTGAAGTCCCTTAATGTAGATGTCAACCCAAGGGCCGTCGAGGCTTGATCTTGAATTGAGCTGGAGATTTCTTCAAGGGCCATCGAGGCTTGATCTTAAGTTAGACTGGAAGATTTTCTGGTTTCCTCCAATCGTTGATTTTCCGCAGGCTTAATCTTGAACTGAGCTGGAGGATTCTTTTGGTCTCCTCCGAAGGTCTGAACTTACTCCTTTGATCTGGAGTTGAATTTGATTCAAGGTGGTGAACACTTGATTTTGAATCGGACTTGTGATTTCTTCAAGGGCCATCGAGGCTTGATCTTGAACTGGGCTGGAGGATTCTTTAGTCTCCCCCTATCGTTGATTTTCCTTTGTGCTACTCTTGAACTGGGCAGCAGGATTCTTTTGGTCTTCCCCGAAGGTCTGAGCTTACTCCTTTTTTTCTGTTTCTTTGTTCAATCTCTCCAATTCGTGTTGAAGAGGGTTAGAGGATAGCTCAGCATAATGCAGTCCGTAGCTTGTCTCCACATGCTTCAATGCATCATTTTCACTTGCCTTACTTGCTCCCCTTTGTAGAAGTGGTATTTCCTTATGCAGGTTTAGCATCTTTTTCTGTACTATTTGTTCCTGATGCAGGAGTTGAATGCAAACCTTGCATTTGAATGGACCATCACTTCTTGGTGGCAGCGCAAGTTTTGAGTGGAGGTTCCGACATATGCTTTCTCTTCCTTGTCCTGGCAGGTGAGAACAAGGGCAAAGGAAAAGAGAGGGGAAAGCATGATATGAGATACCTTTGCTTTCGCCCTTGATGATATGAGATACTTTTGCCTGGTGTCATTTGTTTGGCAAGGGTATTCCGGAGAGGAAGAAAACTGAGCATTTTGAGATGCTTTCTGGGAGTGTACTCTCGGAGGTGAGGAAGAGTTGGGCATTTTTTTTTTCTTGTTTGCAGGTTTGCCTTGCCATAAAAGATGAAGGTCGACATATATAGGGATTTCCCAATAGCAAGTGATGGTACTGTTCTTTTAACCCTTGTCGACAAACGTTGATCCCGCAAATCCGGCTTTTTGAAATAGTGACGGCTCTTCGATCTTTGAATACGCCTCTTTGATTTCTGAAGACGCCTCTTCCGATTTCTGAACGAGTGCCTCTTTTGACAAAGCTGCACGCGTTTTCTGAAAAGCAGAGAAAGCGTCGCCTAACTTACGCTTGTCAGCTAAAGATGTGTAGCTGCGATGATAACCTCCACGTGATCTTTTGACAAAGTGGCACCCGTGCTCTGAAAAGCCGCGAAAGCGTCGCCAGCCTCCACGTGTTTTCAACTTTGTCGGAGATCTTTTGACAAAGTTGAACGCGTTTTCTGAAAAGCAGAGAAAGCGTCGCCTAACTTACGCCGGAAAATCCAGCTTTTGAGATTTGCAGAGCGATGTCTCTTCATTTTTTTGAATAAGCGGCCCTTCGATTTTCTGAACCAACGCCTCTTTGATTTCTGAGCAAGCGCCTCTTCGATTTCTGAGCGAGCGCCTCTTCCTTTTTATAGAGGTATTGATCACCTCTAACATGCACACTTTGAAGGTTGCTCATTCCTGAAAATCATCTCCGGCCTTTTGAGTTTTAACTCCATCCACCCATCTCTTTTAACACCTTTGAAAAATGGCTAACCCATCGAACCTTAGCTTAGAATTGAGTCTCAGCAGTGATCCGGTTGCGCCGCTTCAAGGTAATGTATGGTGCCCTTCTTTCTTATCTTCTAACGGTCCTCTTACAGGTGAAGACTCTGTGATGCAGGACGCCACAACAGCTACAATAGTAGCTAGGAACCTCCTTACTCCAAAAGATAGTAGGCTGCTGTCGGGACGGTCCGATGAGTTGGCCGTTCAAGAGTCCCTCGCTCTTAGTGTTCAGTGTGCGGGCTCCGTGTCCAACATGGGCCAACGCCTGCTTGCTCGGTCCCGTCAGGTGGAATCATTGATGGCAGAGGTGGAAGATCTTAAGCAGGAGATTAAACAGCTTAAGTACGAGAATAGAGGTTTGCATGTGCTTGCAAATAACTATTCGTCGGGCATGAAGAGGAAGCTTGATGAGATGCAAGAATCTCAAGGTCGCATTCAAAGTGACCATCAAAGGCTTGCGTCTTTCTTCCAGAGGCACATTTTTCCGGCGTCATCAAGCGTTCCACCAAGTATTGGGGCCTCGAATGATCTATCTTCGGTGCTTCCCGCTCCTGGAGTTTGGCCGAGTAGTGGGGCTTCACGTGAACGACCTTTGTGAAGGCTCCATCTTCCTTTTTCTTTGTTAGATACATTTTTTTTTTTTTTTTTTTTTTGCACTTGTAATTGTTCGAAAATCAATGAACATACTTCGTTTTATTTAGTGTATTGTGCTAAATACAGAGAAAACATGTACATCACCAAGATTTTTTTTTTTTTGTTTTTTCAATGGTGCTGACCCACCAAAGTTTTTTTTTTTTTTTTTTTTTTTCTCGGTGGCACTGATCCACCAAAGTTTTGTTTTTTTATTTTTTTTTTATTTTTTTATTATTAACTTTAATCATTACTTCCCAACATCATCATTTCATTTTACTTTATTTTATTTTTTTTATTATTTTATTTTATATATATATTTTTTTATTATTCTTTTTCCTTCTTTCGGTGGATTGATCCACCAGAGTTGCTTTTTTTTATTTTTTTTTATTATTATTATTATTTTTTTTTATTATTCTTTTGAAATATGCTTCCCGGCATAATCATTGCTACTTTTTTTTTTTTTTTTTTTTTTTTTTTTTTCTTTATAAGGCCATCTGCAAGGCTGAGTTCGTGGGTGAAAACCCAGGCCGAGTCCGAGAGAAGACGGAGGAGATCTTTGGGTGTGAGTTGACAAACTTTGATTTTGTCAATCACATTCAAAGGCAGTAGCAGAGGCAAGCAGACGGACGAGATCTTTGGGTGTGAGTTGACAAACTTTGATTTTGTTGATCACATTCAAAGGCAGCAGCCATGGCGGAGGTGCAGAAGCAGCCCGAGGCAGAGCGTAAGACGTCGAGTTTGAAGACCGACTAGTCGTTTGACGGCGGTCAATGAAGCTCTTCGTTGATTTTGATCATGGTGGCCAGGGTGACGAGCTCGAGGTTTGTTGGCAGCGTGAGGAGACAGAGGAATGAGCTCCACCATCAATACCAGTGTATGGATAATCCACTTCCTTCATTAGTCCACCAGCTTTGAGTGTGTACTCAAAGACACTGTTCATGAGTCCACCATTACATCCGGAGTCACATGAACCTGCCTCCTCTGGATCGCATCTGTGTTGGTATATTTCCTGTCAGCTGGTTACAACATAGCTGTATAACTTGCAGACTAGTCATGTTCCCAATCTCAGAAGGAATACCCCCAGTTAGATTATTGACGTTGAGATACAGATCAGTGAGCTCAGTGAGATACGATATCTCTTTAGGAATCTCTCCTGACAAGCTGTTGTAGTGCAGGTACAGACCCGACAAGCACTTCAGCTCTGCCACTGCCGGTGAGACCCGACCCGAGAGACCCTTCCCCACCAAAGAAACATTGGCCACTTTGCGGTGCTCGTTGCAGGCCACGCCTTCGAATGAACCACTACACGGGTCACCTTCTTTGGTCCACGACTTCAAAACCCTGCCTTCCGGGTCCAGAGAGGCCTTCAACTCCATCAGAGCTCCCAGCTCGGCATTCCCACAAACAGGTGGTGGCGTAGAACATACGAGCAGAATAAACCGAGAAACCAGAAAATGGATCAAACCCATGCGTGATTTCGGGTCAAAAACTCGAACTTTGTCCGAAATTCTTGATCTTCAGTGCTCACAGTAGAAACCCATGTTGCTTTTGCTACTAAGTAGGTGAGGCTAATCGATGTTCCTGGGCGCTTAGCATCCCCGCCGTTCTCTTTGCTGTTTTGGCGAGAGTGGGAGCAAAACCCATGGCTCAGACCGAAACGGCAGTAATCGAAGTCGTTTTGAAGTGGGTTGCTTCTGTAAATTCTGGAGAGCGAGCAGGAGTAAGCGGCCTGGTCAAGGGTGAGCTCGGTGAGCCGCTGGCGGACGAGGAGTTGTCGACCGGTTCGTATCGGAAGCCACAGGTGAATCGGTCGCCGAAGAGGTTGTCGCAGGGGTCGATGAAGGGTTTCAGGCAGAGGCAGCAGGCGTCGAAGGGCTTGATGGAGTCCCTGCCCAACCGCTCCCTCTGGGTTCCATAGCCGAGCTTCTTCTTCTCGTCGTAGGTGAAGAAAGCGAGGTCGTTGTCGTTCTTCGAGTGCCTCTGCGGCATCTTTTCTCAGCGGATGATTGGGAATTTGGATTAAAATCCAACTCTTCTGATCGTGGATTTTGGGAGTTTTGATTTGGGAATTTGGGGAGGGAGATGCAAAAGCAGCCCTTGGTGATGTTCAAAACGACGCCGAGCTGAGCACTGCTCTTGAAGGCCTCACAGAGGCGGCAGGAGGCGTCGGCTTTGAGCACAGTCTTGAGGCCATTGCAGCAAGTCCCTGCCGGCTTCGTTTCCGTGCTCCCATTCGACACAAACGACAAGCAGTCCGCCATGTTCAAGATCAGGCTCGAGCAGTCCACCGAAGGAGCCGGCGCCGCGCAGTCCCCAAGTCCAAACACCAGCACCGCCATCACCACCACCAAAGTGCTCATCCAAACCCTCGTTGCTGCTCCCATTTTTTTTCTTGTGGTATTGTGAAAAACTGGAGAATGTAACAAGCAACAGAAGCGGGAAGTGGGTTGGTGAGGGATGGATGAAGGAGTGCACGCAGATTGGGCTTTGAGAGCCGGGCCCGAGCCTGGCGGGAGAAGAAGCAGGGCTCTTTGCACAGCAAGCTCAAAACAATTGTGTGTTTGAGAAAAGATGGGCCTGGCATTTGGGTTCCTCTTTTTGTGGGTCTCAACTTTTGTTTTCTTTGATTTGGCACAAGTCTTAAGTGTAGAAGGACTCCCTCTAACATGTATAATTTTTTTTTTTTTTTTTTTAGTATAGAATATATATATTTTTTTTTCTAATACATAGTAACATATGTATTTTTTTTTTCTTTTCTTTTTGTAATAAAATTGACTTTCTTTAATGAAACATTTATTTATTTATTTTGATGTGACTGTACTTGAAGTTTTGAAGTTTCAAGTTGCCTACGTACTCTTCCAAAGAAGAGATCAAGTCATAACGTAGTTCAAATGAGTGATGGTTTTGATGATGATTTTGCCGTACACAGTTTATGCTCTTGCGGGCCAGGAGCATGGTGCGTTTGCTTTAGGGGTAGTAGCGCTTCAAAAATCTGCCGTTGATGGGGCCGATCTTCAACCCGTCTTCTGCCATGATTAAGTAGGCGCCATTGGTGTAGATCTCTTGTATCACGTAGGGTCCATCCCACTTTGATGTGAACTTGCTTTTTGTCTTATGAGTTGTAATGATAGGCCTACGCGACGCCAGCACGAGATCTCCGGCTTGGAAAGACCTTGGGCGGATTTTCTTGTTGAATGCCTTGGATAACCGTGCTTGGTAGCATTCCAAGTGTTGTTGAGCTTCGAGCCTTCTCTCATCCAGCGCTTCCAACTCCTGAAGGCGCAACTTTGCATTTTCTTCATCAGTCAAGCCTTCTTGTATAGCCATCCTTAATGAGGGGATTTGACTTTCGAGCGGTAGAACAGCTTCTACGCCATATACAAGAGAATAAGGTGTAGCTCGGGTAGGAGTCCTATGTGTAGTCCTATATGCCCAAAGTGCTTCACTTATTCTTTCATGCCAGTCTCTCTTTGTTCGGCCGATTACCTTTTTCTGGAGGTTGCACAACGTCTTGTTGAATGCCTCTGCCAGGCCGTTGGCCGGAGCATGATACATGGAAGACTTGTGCTGCTTGAACTTGTATTTGTCGCAAAGCTCGTCCACGAGTCGGTTGGAGAACTGCTTTCCGTTATCAGTGATAATGTAGCGAGGCACCCCATATCGGTGGATGATATGCTCCTTGATGAAACGAACAACAGTTTCCTTTTTTACTTCCCTTAAAGGTATGGCTTCAGCCCACTTGGAGAAGTAATCTGTTGCAGCTAGGATGTAAGCTTCCCCTGCAGATGACTTTGGCGTAATTGGTCCTACAACGTCCAATCCCCATGCGTCGAACGGCCATGAAGCAACTGTAGGGTGTAATGGTTCAGGCGGTTGATGTATGAAGTTGGCGTGGAACTGGCAGGCTTGGCACCTTTTGGCGTGTTCCAGGCAGTCCTTCACCATACTTGGCCAGTAGTAACCCATTCTTTTAAGCCGGAAATGTAGCTTTGGCCCAGACTGATGTGCCCCACACACACCTGAATGTGCTTCTTCCATGGCTTGATTAACTTCTTCCTCACCTAGGCATCTCAGGAGTACTCCTTCAAAAGAGCGTCGATAGAGTGTTCCTTTGTAGTAAAGAAAGCGAGGTGCTCGTCGACGTATTTCGGAACGGTGTCTAAGATCATCTGGAAGCTTTCCGTGCTCTAAGTAGTCGATCAGCGGCTGTCTCCACTCTTCAGCATCGACTGGAAGTACTGAGATGACATTTGTATCATCTAGTGACATTTCATTAACGAGCGGAATCACCCACCTTTGGCAAACTGGCACGTCTGCAACTTCATCTTTTCCTAGTGTCATACTCGAGGCTAGATTGGCGAGAGCGTCTGCCATTTGATTTTCCTTTCTTGGCACATGTTCCAGTGTCACAGCTTCGAACTTTCGTAGCAGTTGGGTCGCTAGCCGGAAGTATGGGACGAGATCATCTTTCCTCACCTCATATTCAGTTAAGAGTTGATTGATTATGAGCTTGGAATCGCCATACACCTCAAGAGCTTGTGATTTCCATGTTGATCGCCATTTGGAGCCCGATTATCAATGCTTGGTACTCAGCAACATTGTTGGAGCATAGCTCATTCAGTTGGAAGGAGTAAGGTAGTATTTGCCTTTGTGGCGTCATGAATACTACTCCTGCCCCCGCTCCGTCTGCTCGTGCGGATCCATCGAAGAACATCGTCCATGTCGGAAAAATATTGATGTAGAACACCTCTTCATCAGGCAAGTCGTCTGAGATTTTCCAATCAGCCGGGATTGGATGATCGGCAAGGAAGTCTGCTAGCGCTTGTCCCTTGACAGCTTTAGCTGAGACGTAGATGATCTCATATTGATTAAGAAGCAAAGCCCATTTAGCGAGTCGCCCCGTCAAGACTGGCTTAGACATAACGTATTTAACAGGGTCGGCTTTAGCAACCAAGTGGATGGTGTAAGCATGCATGTAATGTCTGAGTTTCTGAATGGCAAACACCAAAGCGAGGCACATCTTTTCTATTGGGGAATAGTTCAACTCAGCGCCGGTGAGAGTCCGACTGAGGTAGTAAAGTGCTCCTTCTTTTTGGGATTCATTCTCTTGCGCCAAGAGTGCTCCGATTGAATTTTCCTGAGCAGCAATATACAATATGAGTGGTTTCCCGGGCACAGGTGCCCCCAGGACAGGTGGACTTGACAAATATTTCTTTATGCTTTCAAAAGCATTATGGCATGCTTTGTCCCATAAGAATGGGACATCTTTCTTCATAAGGCGACTGAACGGTTGACAACGCCCTGCGAGGTTGGAAATGAAGCGTCTAATGAAGGCTAGCCGTCCTTGTAGACTTTTCAGCTCGTGCAGGTTTCTTGGCTCGGGCATGCTTTGAATGGCCTTGATCTTTGATTGGTCTACCTCAATACGACGGTGCTTGACGATGAAGCCAAGGAATTTTCCAGAGGTGACGCCAAACGCACACTTTAACGGGTTCATCTTGAGGTTGTATTTTCGCAGCCTTTCGAACACTATTCGCAGATCCTTCAAGTGGTCTGATCTTTTCTTCGTCTTAACCACCACATCATCTACGTAACATTCTACGTTCTTGTGTAGCATGTCATTGAAGATTTTCTGCATTGCGCGTTGATACGTAGCTCCAGCGTTCTTTAGGCCAAAGGGCATCACCTTGTAGCAATAGATACCTTTTGGAGTACGAAAGGCTGTTAGCTCCTCGTCTTCGAGGGCCATGCGAATTTGATTGTACCCAGAAGAACCATCCATGAATGATAATGCCTCATGGCCAGTGTTTGCATCCACCATGATTTCAATGATTGGCAAGGGGAAGTCGTCCTTTGGGCAAGCATCGTTGAGGTCCCGGAAGTCTACGCAAACACGTATTTGTCCTGATTTCTTAAGGACAATGACGATGTTGGAGATCCACTTGGGGTATTGCACTTCTCGAATAAAGCCTGCTTCGATAAGCTTGTCGATCTCGACCTCAATTTGTGGGATAAGCTCAGATCGATAGCGTCTTTGAGTTTGCTTTATCGGTCGTGTTCCAGGTCTGACCGCAAGATGATGAACAGCGATGATAGGGTCCAGGCCGGGCATTTCTTTGTAGGTCCAGGCAAAGACGTCTTTGTATTCTAACAACAGCTGATAAATCTTCTCTATCTCATCTGTACTTAATAATGCACTTATGAAGATAGGCTTTGGTTCCTTGCTTGTACCTAAGTTGAGTTCCTTGAGATCATCCACTGTGGCTTGCCCCCCATCTTCGAGCTGTGGTGGTGCAGCAGTGACATCTTCCTCGGGGATTTCGTCTTCTTTACCTTCTTGAACCGTGATGTGGAAAACATCTTGGATCTCCTCTTCAGTGCTGTCTTCTTGAGCTTATTGGCATAAGGATTGTCTGGTGTGGATGATAGTACGCCTTCTCACTTTCAGTGGTCCCTTTGTGTCGACCTCCAAGATTGCTTGGCGCTTCATCCTTGAAGGAATCAAGCTTCGAACGTCATCTTTTTCTCCTAACCCATCGAGCTTTTCTTCCTTTGGTGTTGTCTTCCTCTTTCCAAAAGGCTTCTCATTATCTTCAAATTTTTCTGAAGCTGATCGTCGCAGAGGAGAGATAACTGTGCTGCTTTGTTTCTTAAGCTTTAACAACCATTCAAAAACAGAGTTTTGGGATGTTGGCGCGTTAAGCCTCTTGAAGACAAAGGTTTGGTCTTGACCACCAATGCGATTAAACACTGACGTTCTGGAGCTTGAATGGCTCATCCTATCGAAGACCGACGTCCGAGGGGAGGGTTTAGGCTCTTCTTGGTCTTGTTCAATGCTCACGCTGATGTGTTGAGCACTAGTGTTTTTCGCTTTGTTTGAAATCATCACAGGTGCATTTGGTGTGAAACCAAGTCCGGCTTTGTTGTTGTCAACTCCGTAACCATGCTCCTTCAACTTCTTTTGAGTTTTGGTAAGGTTACGTTCTTCGTTATTGACGGTGTTTGAAACCTTCTTTCCAGCCACCGCAGAAGAAGCGAAGTCGTACCCGGCCTCTGACATGAGTTTGTAGGCGTTAGAGTCGAAACCTTCCTCGGTCCTTTTGGTTGGAAGAAAGCTTGATTCCACCTTCTTTGGTAGAGCTTTTATGAAGCCTTGTGGTAGTCTTGCGACCTTAGCACCCCCTAGCTGTGTCAAAGGCAAAACTGCATTGTCTGAGCAACTTCACATTATCCGTGTGCCACTGTGTGTCGGCTTTTCTTGTTTCAGTTTCGAAGGGAGATTGACCATTATTTCTTCTTGACATCGGGATATATCGAAATATGGGTGCGTTCGGTCCTTCTGACGGCGTCCCTACTCCCTTTGGTTGTTGCAGGTTTAGCAAACTCGTCATCGTCTTTGCTTGAAGATGGCACAGTCTGCTCT